TACAATGGAGGCACTGGATGTGGGGGCATATTGGAACTACTGAAAGGTTGGGGGGGTGGCATACTGGGGGCACTGAATTTGCAGGGGGGCACCGAAGGTACTGGTTGTGAGGGGCACACTGGAGGCACTGGTTGCTGTTGCAGTGGCAGGGCGCCTGCCGGTGTAAGCTCCCCTTCACTTATCAGTAATATTGGTATATTTAAGACCGATACTGATTATTTACATTTTTTTAAATATCGGCCATAAGAAATCGGTAGATCCAACAGTTGGTCAACCCCTAATCTGTTTTCTCTGTGTACTTTAGCTGAGCCCCCATTGATCAATGCAGATCAACACAGCCTCACGTACCTGGTGTGGGCTCTAAAGTATAAAATGATATACAGTACTTGAGCAAATGACACAAAAAAATCTGCATGTTGTATTCACCGTAATATTCTAAATTGAAGAAAATGCTGATTTATCATATGGAAAAAGTGAGTACACCCTACATTTACCACCACTTCAAATCCATGAGTTAGATTAACATTTTCTAGATTAGGTGCCAATGATTAGAACCTCCTCAGGTCAAAGGTGGACAAATTGATATGGAATTCAGGAGTCAGTCTGTCCAATCCAGCCCAGTGGAATTTATAGGAGCAATCTCCACTGACAACAGCTGGAGGAAACCTCAAAAGTTACACGTCAGCTGTATTTTGAAGGAACATTGGCAACCTGGCTCCTGGGATTTGTCCAGCCTAGCATTTAGGAGTATGCAGGTGGAACCTATCTTGTTTAGTCTATGTTCACACTAGGGATGCACCGCTACAGATACAAGTATCGCTATTGGTGCCGATACTGAGTATTTGGGCGAGTACGCATACTCACCCAAATACTCCCAATACCTATCCCGATACCAGGACTTCCAGTATCAGGAAGCCAGGCGGCGAGTCATTACATGCTGCCCTGCTACCTGATTGTCGAGAAAGCTGGCACCATGCTCCCTCGTCACCTGGTGACGAGGGAGCATGGAAACGGCTACTCGACTAATCGGGAAGCCGGCAGCGAGTCATTTCACGCTGCCCAGTCCTGGCTAATCAGGAAGCCGGGAGGCAAGTCATTACATGCCGCCCGACTTCCTTAATGGGAATTCCACTATCGGTATTGGCAAATACCGATTGAAAAATATCGGTACTCGTACTTGATACTGAAAAGTATCGGTGCATTCCTAGTTCACACCATGTCTGAACCAGATCTGCAAACGCAGTGCAGTGCATTTTTGCAGCAATTTTGCCGCGTTGTGGTGCTGTTTCTTTTTTAGCTTAAAACGGGCTTTCAGGTGCAGTCCAGTGCATTTGTATGCATTTTTGATGTGTTTCCATGCGTTCCAGTACATTCCAGCTGCCCCCCACCACCACCACCTATAACATAGAGGTGTAGCTGCCCACCACCACCACCTATAACATAGAGGTGTAGCTGGCCCCTGACAATAGGAAACTTTCACCATAACATCAGACAAAAGCCACATTCACATGACAGTGACACTGTGTACAAAATCATGCAATGCACCACTTGTATATAATATTATACTACAAAGATCTATCTATCGATTCTATCATTGTATTGATATTGTATCTATTCTATGTATAACTATTTCTATTCTATCTATTTATATTGATTATAGATTGATCTATCTATTGATTTATATCTAATATAGATGTATCTATCACAAACCAAACACAGACAACCTATATGTAATGAACATTTCTGCATCTTGAGGTATCTTACACTACACTATTGATACATTTTCACCCCAGATTCACAGTTTTTTCACATAGAATTCCATCAGACAAATGTGTGAATCGTGGGTGAAAGCTGGGTGACTCTTAAATGAAAACATTAATTAATAAACCCCAATGCCTTCAGCTTTGACGTCTATGAAAGAAGGCATGCTGGGCCATGTAGTTGTGCTGGAAAGCCAGTAGGACATCCCTTGTCACAGTGGCGCTGACACTATAATGGACGGGTATTGGTGTTCTGGGTACACAGGGGTTATGTCAGCGGTCGTAGCTGTTTTCTATGGCAGAGAGCAGTGATCATTCACCTGCCTGTGTCCTGGTATCAGTGCCCACCTCCATACCCTGCGCCGCCCCAGCTTCTGTATTGTAGCATTGTACAGACACTGGAGGAGCAGTATATACGATTTACATGTGATGTGCACACTGTATATAGATCAGACTGTGTCCCTGGCTTTCCCTGTCTGTGTCGGGGAAGACATGCCCTCCCTCCATGCTCCATGTTAATTGCAGGGCCTGTGGTGCAGACAGCGAGCTGCTCCTCCTGGAGACTGCAGTGCCTGGCATGCCCCTTGTACACTGGCACAGCCAGGCTGGCAGGGCAAGGAAACGCCCGGGCTCCAGAATCTGGGAAATGCCTGCTGTGTGCCAGACGTTTTCAGCTCGGCAGAGGCCGGGGAGCCATCAGACATCACACACACTATGAACCCGTAACAGCAACAGTACAACGCAATCCCGGCGATCACCAGCAATTAAACAATGCACCCCCCATAGGTTTATCAAGCGCTCGCCCAAAAAAATCTGGGCTCATTTCATAAAGATACACCACCGCCTTCCACTGACTGCGCTAAAGCGATTCATTCTCCTTGGTTGCTATGGGCGATAGCGACCATGTAGGCAATTACCGCGCTTCGCTA